GTGATGGGAGAGCCCGGGCTCTCGGGCACGGGCTGGAGCTGCCGGTCTTGCCGGGCGCGCTGAGCACAGAGGGGGGCGTCCGCGGCCGGCTGGGGAGGCGCGGGCCGGGTTTTTGTTCCGCTGAGTGCAGCGCCAGGCAGACGGAGCGGACAAACTCCAGTTGCAACAACAACCCACCTTCCCGCACCCAGGGAGACTTGCGCTGCTGCGTCCTATTGTTTAGACACTTGCCAGGGACTCCGCAGCCGGCAGAGCCACCCAGTCCCTGTTCCCTGGGGTCGCCTGCAATCTCATCCAAGCTCCTCCGCGGACCAGGAGGCGAGGAAAGCAGCCTGGATACAGGCAAGGGGCCGGAAGGAGTGGGAGGTTTGGGGCCCCGGCCGCCGAGTCAGGTGCACCGCCAGGAGCCCAGCAGCATCGCGACCTCAGCGGAGCCAGCGCGCCTGCTGTTGGGGACAGGGATCCTCCGTCTGGGAAAAGTTCCTGCACTTCTAGGTGGATAACCCACTTGTGGGCGGCTGCCGAGGGGCTGCGCCTGCCCAGAAGGCCTGCTCTCGCATCTTCCACCTTGGCCATCAGGTGTCTGCCGCGGAGCTGCGGCGTATCCGGGAGACCAGAGTGGCTGATACACGCGCGCGCGCGCACACACGACTGCCATACAGCCACCGCCTGGACTCAATTCACGAGTAAAGGTTCCCATCGGCCCTCTGCCACCTCGCCGTCTTCCAGAACGCCCCCTACCCCGTGAGACTCCTGGCGTGAACGCCTTCACCTTGGCCTTTCCACTCTTAGTGGCCTGCCTGCCTGCCTGCCAGCCAGTATTGTCCCAGCCCGCACCTACTCATCACCTCAGGAGCTCCGGTCCTTAACTCGGCCTCTTGGATTTTCTCTGCTGGGGTCGTGACTAGTGGATATTCCTGTCTGCTGCCCTGGCTCCACTGCTGCCCTTTTGTCTTCTGCGTGACCTCGGGGCAGGCCTCTGGTGCTGAGCGTCGCCAAGGACGCCAAGGGAGGCGGGATTGCCTATGCACCTTTCTCTGGAGTGCAAGCGTTTTGACAAACCACTTAGGGCTATCTGGAGCTGTTGAGGAACGGTCAGGGCCGCAGCGAACCAGGGAAAGAGCGCGTGAGCTGCACAGGGCACCTCACACCGCCGCCCCGCGCCTCCCCACCCCACCCCCACCCCCAGGCTGCGCGCCTGCCCCGTGCGCCCCTGCGCGCTACACTCAGTCCCCAGGCAAGCTCTGCCTGTTGCCCAGTGGGCGCCTTCGCCTTCGCCTTCCAGCTTCCTGGAGCCAATTTTGATTAGGGCCACCTTTCTGATCGCGACCTTCTGGTGTGGTGCACCTTTCTGGCGCACTCACTCAGCCCTCCACGCGAGCGACCCCTGCCTCTTGGTAGCCACTGGGAGTCCCTGCTCTTTTACCGCCAAGTGGGCCCTTAGAAGACAGAAGGCGCGTGACCCCCTCCCGCCCCTCTTGGGCTCCCCTTGCCGCCTCGGACCCGCGATTGCTCTCAGGACTTAAAGTTGCCCCAGGAGCGTCTACTCCGCAGTCGGAGGTCGGAGAGAGAGGAGGACAGCGGTTCCTGCACTTGCTTGGCTGCCTAGACTATTATTACTGTTACGTCCTCATTATCAGTGTGCGTTTCCAGCCGGCATTCTGGACTGCTAGCCCCACGCCAGGGGCCACTGGGCCTGGCCTTGAGCGGAGCGCGCTTCCGACGAAAAACCGCAGGCGCTGGGGATCAGCGAGGCTGCAGGGGACGATGCGCGGCGTTGGCTGGC